ATTCCAAGGACATTATCTCATTTTCATTACATTTTTTTACAACCAACAGGAGGGACACCTGGCACAGTAAAACAAGACAAGAATTTTTTACTGTTTCCCGTTTTATTAACTTCACTGTACCCTGAGGCCTGCTTTCCTGCAACAAATCCCCAAATAAAATTCAAAATACCAAGTTAGTATCATTTCAAATGCTGTAACAAATAGAGGGCCCATACATTTCAACTGCTTAGGTAAGTGGACCAGAGTGTAAAAGCTATTCTTAAGTTCGCTCTGAAACCAGGACCCACAAGCCCTGCTACCCGGACCCTTTTGATGCCCACCCCCACCCCAAGCAGCATGCGGCAGAGAGCTAGGAACTCCCAGGGCGGCGAACTCTTACCCCAACAGTAAAAAAGAAAGGCTTTATCAGAGTCCTTATAGGATAGGGAGAAGGATCAAAGACCGTTTCTTCCACGGGAGGAATCAAAGCACTTCTCTTGTACGCTCCACCACTCGGCCCTGTGTCTGATCTTCGAGGTTCAATCTTCCTGGGTGCTTTTCTGAATCCACATTTTTGCTGAATAAAGAAGTTAAACCTGGGAGGGAGAATACGGAGTTAGAAACAGAAGGGCCTGCGTCATCACATCTGTTTATCCTCTGCGGCCCCCCAAGAGCCAGGACTCCCAACCCAGGGAGGGTTCAAAGTCACAGCACTTGGCCTTTCACGAGAAGACGCGACACTGGCTATAGCAGCTGCAGGTGCTTGGGGAGCCACTGGAATCAACCAACGAGGTAACACGCTCATTGTACAGGAAGAATCTTTACTCTGGTACAAAACTGGAGAGCTCTTAAGCTGTCAGTTGCAATCAGTATAGAACAGCTGTACTTTGAAGTTTGGTCAATGTCCAGACGTACATTCAAATATATTATCCTTGCAATCATTTCATTTTCAAGAGGACTTCCTTTGCTAAGTACTGAACATTGTAAATTGACGAGTTCCTCTTCCCTCACCCCTATGCACCACTTTGGGAAAAGTGACCAGATATACTAGTAATTGAGCCCTGCAGCTTGGCCTCCTCAGAGTATCTGTCACTACTGATCATGCCTCCTATTCCTACCTTCTGTGAGACTGCACACTGTTCTTTTGCAGGGGGGGGGTAACGGCGATCAGACTCAGTACCTGCGGCTTGCGAGGCAGATGGCGGAACCACTGAGCTAAATCCCCAGCGCTGCATACTCTTCTTCAATTTTAACTGAGAGTTCTCCCCTTTTCTAGCTTTCAACCACCAATATGCCCAAGTTTGTTTTGTTTTGTTTTTGAGACAAGGTCTCACTATGTAGTTCACTATGGGACCCAGGCTGGCCTCAACCTTCATGCCCAACCTTCAAAGACTCCAATTCTAACGAAAGGTTACTACCTCTGCATCTCATCAAGTCACCTAAAAATCTGTAGTGTGGTGTTTGAAAAGAAACAAACACTCTGTTGAGAATGTGAACTTCAAGCAAAGTTACACGGCTCAGTCTAGATCACTCACCTTGAGAATTTCCTTGGCAACAGGTGAAGAGCTGAGGATACCAACAGTGTTATGCTGGACTCAGGGTTCAGGTAGAACTTAAAGGATGCAGTATACATGTAGTAAGTGTCTATAAAACGACCGTGGCACATCTGGACTCTGCTGGACGGAGTCCGACACTGTGCCTCGGCTCACTAACCCTATTACTGAGGATGCACTGGCACGGCACAGGGGCTGCGAAGCCAACACTCAGTTCCCAAGCCTCTGTAGTTAGGGTTCAGATGGAAGCAGGGGCTCACGGGACACGTGGCACAATACTTGAACTCAAAACTGAGATCAGTAAGAGCTGAGGAATCAGTTTTGCTAGCAAAGGTAATGGCATAAGCAGCGGCAAGCTTTCTGCAGTGGGCAGATCTTAACTCGGCAGCAGCTCTCCCAGGCCAGCTGTGGCTGTGTAACAAACTCTACAGCACACTGGCTCAAAACCCTGAATGACTGCTTCTCAGGATTCAGCAGGGTAGTCCTGCTGCTCTCACCCGGTTCCCCTACTGGGCCGGAGCGGGAGAAACCCAGAGGGCAGCCCCTCCCTGGAGCCTCAGGGCCCACTGGATCTCTCTGCATGTGCCCCCTCCCCCGCATCAGCAGTCTAGCAGGGGCCACGGCTCCAGGGGGCACAAGCCCCAAGGCCTCTGACTCTCAGGACTCTGCACCTTCCCCAGAATTCCTGTGACACACACTACTACACACACCAGCTGGCTTCAAGGAATAAAGAAATGGACCCCGATGCCGGAAGAAATCTGCAAAATATTGTGGCCATGTTGTTTAAACTATACAGCAGCTGTGGTAGGGACAGTTTAGATTCTGAAAGCTCAGGCTACGGCAGGAATTCTCAGTCCTGAGTTTTCCTTAGACTGCCCTGGGACGCTCTTAAAGTTACCATACCAAGGCACCACCTCAAATCAATTAAATTAGACTCTTTAGGAGTGGGGCCAGGGCTCCCCAAGTAACTCGCACATGCAGGCAGGGCTGAGATTTACCACACCTTTGGGGAAAACTTTGATCTATATACAGATCACCTGGGGAATCTCATTAAAACCATCATTAAATTAGTAGTCTCTGGGCTTAGGTTAAGCTTAGGAGCTTGCATTTCTAAAAAAATCCTAAATTAGGAGTTGACAGTCCAGGGCTGAAAGGCAGACTTTACCCTCCAGCTGGGAGTGGTTTTTACATTTTTTGGTGTCACACGCAGTCCTACTTCACACCTGGCCTACTTGATGCTTGTAGTTGGTTCACCAACGATTCCCTTGTCTTCCACCAATACTGCTATTTAAATCTGAACGGTTGTTACCTACACATTAATCCTATGTGATTAGGTACGAAAACAGTTCCAACCTAAGTTTGGCAGGGGCTGACTCCCATAACCCTGGGCACACCTTCGCGAGATCTTCAATAAATGCAGCCACTTTTCATTTACTGTTGGATGAACGCTTTGTAATTCTTGGCTCATCATACACAAGAGTCTGGAATCTGCTGGACACATCCGCGGCATCAGACAGTGCAACCTGCCTGCCCTGTCAGTCGCGCTCTGAAAACCCAGCAGGAGGCGCCCGAGGCCTGGCGCACATTTCAAATCCTGGAGCCCAGCCAGTGCCGTCTTCCTGTTTGTCCCACTCTCCTTTCTGCCAGCACGAGGCTGCTTGCTGGGAGCACAGCTTCGCCCTTTGAAGCGTATTACACACAGCTGCTTTTCCGTACCGTTGTTCCCTCGTGCACAAGAGCCGGAAGCCCATCTGGGAACCCATCCCCCACTGTAACAACCTCTCACTGGAGTCCCACCTCGGGACTTGCAAACGAGTAAGCCAAGAATTTCTTCCAGCTGCTTAGTCCAGTCACAGAGTTGTGTTGTACAGCTGAGTTTCTCTGGGCAGAAGAATGCTTTCAGGTGTAAGGATATAGTGCACATTACATGACAGGTATGGTCTTAGAAAGCTTTTTTTTCCTTCTCTTTTTTTTTTGAGACAAGATCTCACTTTGTAGTGCTGTCTGGCCTTGAACTCCTTATGTGTAGCCCAGGCTGGCCTTGAGCTCGAGGCGATTCTCTTGCCTCAGCCTGAGTGCTGGAAGTACATAAAATTCTTAAAAGCAAAAAACCCACAAGAATAATGTCTTAAACTGCAAGTTTCTGCGATCTTTTCCACAGGTTTAGGTTATTTAGCTCTACCCATTTAGATAAGCATCGAAAATGGAAAATGAATTATTCACCTGAAATAAGTTAAACAGGGGAAGTAAAGCAACACACACACACACACACACACATGGCTTTCAGCTCTGCTGCTTTGGTCCCTCTGGTAAGGGCAGATTTGAGGAAGGGTCCAACCCAAAGTGTAGACAGCTCATGAACACCTGGGTTGCCACAGCCACACAAGTGTTACAGTTGTTTTTATTACAATCTCTTGACTTTTAAATCCCAGCCACCTGGGAGGACAAGACAGGCTTCAAAGTTCAAACTGGGCAACTTAGTGAGAGCCTATCTTAAAAAATAAAATGAAGGGCCAAAGATTTGGCTCAGTGGATCCGTCGCCTGCCTTGCAAGCGTTAAGGACCCGAGTTCAATCCCCAGTACCAAAAGGGACTGCATACAGCTTGATGGTAACACTTGCTTACCATGTGAGAGCCTCTTTTGTACCACACACCCAAAAAAGAAGGTTAAAAATAATGACACTTAAATACACATACAGGACAGTGCTGATGTCTACATTATTAAAATTCTATATGAAAAAAAATTAGAAATGGCCTAACATTTAGAGACAAGCTGTATCTAAGCACACAATACATTAGATTCCTTCCATTTAAAGAAGATACATTTACGGGTAGGAAGGGAATTCTATATAAACTCTTGCACACCAAAATTATTTTCTTGAAACTCATCTTGAGTTAAGAGGTGGCGAGTTAAACAAGGAAAGTAATGTAAATTGCCCGATTTACTAATTTGCCAAGCATCGTACACAAGGATATTTTAAAACTGTCACCTCAATCTAAAAATTAAGCTGTGTAGATACTACAATGAACTATTCCTTTGGATTGGTTCACGTAACTGGCAAATTATTCAGGCTTCTACTTTCCAAGTTTAAATCACATTCTTCAGAAGTACTGTATGACCAGAAGGTTGATAATGGCAACATTTCTGAAAAGCCAAGGTGAGATTTTCTTTTTCTGTAAAACGCCAGATAGTAATAGTTTAATCTCTATCAACTACTGAAATCTGTCACATATCACTGTTTTGTTTTACAATCCTTTTGAAAACTTGACTGGTGGATGCCTTGGGCCAACATAGTTTGTGGAATCTAGGACACTACCTAGAGCGCTTGCAAAATGTACATTCCTGGCCCACTTTGGGCCTGTTACACTAGAAACACAAAGACTGGGTTCTTCTTCTGCATAATTTTAGAACCACAGGAACTCAAAACAGACCTAACAAAGGATATAAAGAAGGTAAGCGTGCTGTGTTAATTTTCAGTACATATTTCCAGGGGGAAGGGGCAAACCTACTACCTACTTCAACTCACCTACATTTTCATGGAATGTGTTTTTCTTTGCAACCACAAAAATGTCACTTTCAAACTTTCCATATTCAGGGCTGGGGATTTAGCTCAGTGGTTCCGGCACCTGTCTCGCAAGCACAAGGACCCAAGTTCAATCCCCCATACCAAAAACAAAACAAACAAAAAAAAACTTTCCATATACAGTGGACCTTCAAGATACAACCGGCCTGACATATGAAGCACTTGAGTTATGACCAGAATTTTAGTTGTAACTTACAAAGTCTTGTGTTAACAGCCCAAATGCTGGCCTCTTGTGCTGCCAGATGGTATCAGATACAGATTTACCCTTACAGGGTTTCAGGAAGGAACAATGCAACATCCTTTACTGTGTGTGGCTGAGAAATCCTGGGCCAATGTTTCTCTAAGGACATTGAAATCTTCCTGTATACAGGAGAGAGAAGGCTGTGTACAGAAACCTGAGCCTTCAGTTGACTAACCCGAGTTACAACCAGCCCTTTGGAAAAGAGTTCATAAGTCAAGGGTCCATTGTAAATAGCCAGTTTTTAAAAATCAGGTTCTAGGGGCCAGGGATTTAGCTCAGTGGCACGGCGCCTGCCTTGCATGCTCAAGGTCCTGAGTTTGATCCCAGATTATCAGAAAAATTTTTTTTAATCAGGTGCTAATCTTCATCATTACACATCGCTTATCTGTTGTTCCAAATGGTCTTCCCATCTAGTTTTACCGGAGGGTCCTCTTCATCTAGTTTTCTTTTGCTTCCCCTTCCTAAAATCACTACTGATGAGTACACACTCTCATTTTATAAACTTGCTTCTAAATAAGACATTCACCTTTTCTTCCCCCTTGAATTATGCAATCTCAAATATGATTGAAAGTAAACAACAGCACCAGGACCAGTGAAATCTATCGCCACCGAAATCTACCACCACCCCAAACCTCCTCATTCTCCATCTCCCCAGGAACTTGAATAGTGCCTGAAGATGCATGTTATTTTATAAAGATATAACGTGTGCAAATTTTTCACAAATGCCTAGATAAAATTTACTCGGAGCATTTATACTGTACAGGTTCTAGGAAATACAGGAACCAGAAAAATACAGGCTCTTCCGGTTCTCCAATCCCTGATTGATTTAGGAGGACTTGGGTGTGGCCTGGTAAACCACATAGTCTACAAACACTCCAGGTGAATCTTTTTGTGTTTTGAAACAAGAGTCTCACTACTATGTAGCCCAGGAGGCTGGCCTCAAAACTCCTCCTCCCAGATGCAGCTTCCGGTGCAGTTACTGCGTGCGATTAGGTAAAGGATCCACGGTACTGAAGCGTTAATCACGTACCCCTGGTTCAAGGTTCCTTCCTACCATCGAGTGGATCTTAAGACACCCATCCAACCAAGTCAGAAACTGGGGAGGCTGAAAATCTCGATGAAAGTTAAGTCAGTACATATCCCATTCTTAGAACGCCGGAGTTTCTCAATGTAGAACTGAACCCTTACAAAAAAACCAGCCAACACCGATAGACCACGGTCTTCACACAGCTGATCCTCCAGCGAGCCAAGGACGGATTTCTTTCCAAAGCGTCGAGAAATCAAATGTTTCACTGTCTCAATTCTTCAACAGAAAAACTGTTCTTAGGGCTTTGCAAGAAAGGCAGAATTTTGTGCTCCCGACCCTGTCCTCTCTCCACCCTAAGGAAGGGCAGTGGTGTAGTGAAATACACACTGTATAATTAGGCTATGCCAGTCTACCAGCTGGGCAACTGCTTCACTTAAAAACAGTTCAGTATTATCCGCTCAGGATGAGGAGGGTGGCAAGCAACTCGCCCTAAACGGTTCGTCCTCCTTCCGGTCACGTCCCTCCCCAGGCGACGGGGAAAGCGTGGGCTCCGGCAAGGCCGGCGGGGGCGGGTACGCCGCGAGAAGGCAGAACTGAAGAAAGGCTACAGAGCGGAAGGGGTTGGCGGCGGGTGAGGAGAAAGGGACAAGCAGAGGGGCAGCCCGAGAGCCCCGAAGATGCGCGGCCGGAGCTCCGGGGCCGAGAAGCCGGGGACAACGGCCATTACCTGCGTC